GGGGGGGGGGGAACGTGGCGTGGGCTTTGGGTTTCAGAGGAAACGGAGCAAATCTCTCCTCCGTTGCGTTCCTACCTGCAGCTTTTCTCTCCAGGTCGGCCCTTTTGTGAGTGTGAAAGAAAGAGGGTTTTGGAGGGAGCAGAGAGGGACTAGCGCTGTAATGTTGGGCCGAGGGCCAGACAAGGCCTGCTGCACAAGGCCGAGCCCCACCACGCTCCCTCTACCTCCCTCTCCCTCTCCCTCTCCCTCTGTCCCCTTCTCGCTCCCTAGCTATCAGAAAACTATTAACATCGATTCCTAGTTTGACTTTTCCTCATTAAAACCCTTTCTTAGCGAACACGTAGAAGGTTTAAGGCTTGGATAAACTGAGAAAATGGCTCATTGCTGACACGTGGCTGCAGTAACTTTAATATACATGCTTTATAACTAATTACCTTCAAGTATAAAGCTGTAGTTATTTTCCTTTATTACTTAAATAGTACAAAATGCTTCTCTTAAGTTAGAATATACGGTTTTAAGAAATACAAAGCGATGTAACCTACATGCGGAGTATTTGGGATGTGTTATTGAACCGGAATAGAGCGTCACGCTTTATAAAGAATTAATGAAAGTTGCATTGTCATTAATATTAATATCACACCTGCTTCATCTCTCAGGAATAATATCAGCTTGAATTTTGTCTCAATTCTACCGTTTTTTCTCCATCGTTAAAAAAACTCAACGTGCCACACCCCTCGCTGTCGCTGATGCCACCTAGTCGGGCATCTTTTGATGAAATCCCGTGAATCATTTCGCCAAACAAGCGCTGATTAAAATGTTGTGCATTATTTTCAACATTGCCTTTAGATATGGCTTCATGTCGAGCACATCAGTGTCTCCCCTGACCGATAGGTAGGAGTGGAGGCAGCGTGAGTCATCCCAGAAAGCTCGAGTCCTCCCACCCACGTCCTGTGACAGGTTTGTTCTTCTGCTGCGAGCTACGCCATTCCTGTCACGCTGGCAGGAAACCCCGACTTTGCTTGCCGGTTGTCGTTGCGTACGAACCCCTCTCGCGAGACTCTACATTTCGGTGCAAGTACGAGTTAATACGTTAGCGTTCGGAGAGAAACACGTCATCGCTGAGCACCAATCGGCTCGCAAGGTGCAGCAGTAAAAACCGCAGCAGAATGAAATGAAGGAAACACCTTTCTTTCTTTTCTGCCCTTTCCTATTTCTTTCTTTTCTACTTTGTTCCCTCTAACTCTAACTCACCCACATACTGTAGAAATAAAGGAAGCGGCGAGAATTAGGAGAAACGCTTTGATGCCCGATTTATAACTCGGAACCTGACGATCGTTTATTTTCCCTCTTACGCGGACTTGTTTCAAAGCGCCTTGTCTTTACGGTTTAGTTGTATTTATGTCACGGACAACGAGAAAGTCACGGAGTTTCTATCTTCAAAAATATTGGACGTATTAAAAGACGACTTTGCCTCAGGGGGAAAAGCGAAACCCATCTTGTTTGACCTTGGAATACATACAAAGATATATGTTATGAAGTCAAACTAGCAGGAAGTTGCTGCACACTGATAACCTGCACTCTTATTGGATTTTAGCTCAACAGTAAATCTGCGAGCCCGGTTTCTAAAGAAGTGTATTTTTTTTTAAAAACAGTTTAAACTGAAAACTGCATAACTAAAGGACATTTGAAAGCTGACATAAAGACTATCACACAACATTTGAAAGCTGACATAAAGACTATCACACAACATTTGAACCAGGCACACACACACACACACACACACACACACACACACACACACACACACACACACACACACACACACACACACACACAGTAATAATAATAATGTGTGTGTTCTCTACAGCTGGGCTCGGTGCAGGAAGCCTCTCTCTCCTATCAGGCGGCTCTGCAGAAGTTCCCGAGTGACGACGTGAAGACGTTCCAGCAGCTCCGAGTGTGTGTCCTGCTCAACCTGTCGCGCTGCCACCGCAAGATGAACGTCAGTCTGACTCTGAGCTACAAATATTACTTTAATGTTTATTAATGTTATTTCATCGTGCTGACGTGGATCCGTTTCTCTTTGCTGGCAGGACTTCGGGCTGGCGGAGGAGTTTGCCACCAGAGCTCTGGAGCTGAAGGCTAAATCCTACGAAGCGTTTTACGCCCGAGCGCGAGCCAAACGAGGACGCAGGTAACCATAGAGACAAGTTGTTTGATTAAACAAATAATAAATGATCAGATAAACTAACCCTAATCAAATGTTGAAGTACTCCCATTAAATATGCCATGATCTTATGTCTTATTGATGGATGTCCAGCTAAAGTCTTTAAACTATGCACATATTCCTTGATAGTTATTCCTAATGTCAATTTCAGTCACTTGTCGCCGCTTTTCCAGCCGTTGGTACACCGTGGAAAAGATGACTCTTTCCTAGAGCTTGCAATACGATCATGTTTGTATTGATATTGTAAGTCAAGTTGTTGGTTTGTTTAGTATTCCTGTTATAAGCTGGATCATTTGCAGCGAGGCACGTTACTATCGAGAAAGGCGCCAACATTTAGGGTTTATCAATATTTGAAATCTGCAGCTCAAAGAAAAGCACCTGCAGTTTAGTGAAGCTCGATAGGTCCCTGAAGCCCCCCTTGTGTTTGGACCCTGCATCAGTTCCTTCAGGACTCTGACATCTCCTCCTCTCTTTGTTCCTCTTCCTTCAGACTGTACCATGCCGCTCTGGAGGATCTGATCGAGGCCAGCTGCCTCTGCCCGTCCAACCGGGAGATCCAGCGCCTCCTGACCCGGGTCAAAGAGGAGTGTCGTCAGGCGGCCCAACAACAAGACCCTCACCCGTCCCATGGAGTCTATCAACAACAAGACCCCCAACTTCCCCGGTCCCATGGAGTCTATCAACAACAAGACCCCCAACTTCCCCCGTCCCATGGAGTCTATCAACAACAAGACCCCCAACTCTCCCCGTCCCATGGAGTGTATCAACTACAAGACCCCCAACTTCCCCCGTCCCATGGAGTCTATCAACTACAAGACCCCCAACTTCCCCCATCACATGGGGTCTATCAACACCAACAAGACCCCCAACTCTCCCCGTCCCATGGAGTGTATCAACTACAAGACCCCCAACTTCCCCCGTCCCATGGAGTCTATCAACAACAAGACCCACAACTTCACCCGTCACATGGGGTCTATCAACAACAACAAGACCCCCAACCTCACCCGTCCCATGGAGTCTATCAACAACAAGACCCACAACTTCACCCGTCACATGGGGTCTATCAACAACAAGACCCCCAACTTCCACTATCACATGGAGTCTATCAACAACAAGACCCCCAACTTCCACTATCACATGGAGTCTATCAACAAAACGTGGCTAGAGACTCAGAGTTTCTGCAGGATCCGGACAGGAAGTGGGGATCTGAGGAAGAGGAGGAGGAAGAAGGGAGTCACAACCACCCTTTAACTGTGGTTCAAAGCCTGGACCCCCACTGTCGGCCTGGGGGTCCATCACCCTCATCCCTGTCTCCCACTCACCTGTACCGGCACCGCCCCAGTCCCACCCACCAGTTCAGTCCGCCTTCCTCCCTGATGCAAGAAAGTACGCTTTCATTCTCAGGAATTGGTCTGACACAGCATCCACAGTCGGCTCCTAACCCCTCAGAGCAGATCCAGGGACACCACCAGTCCAACCAGAGGTCCTTTCAGCATCAGAACCCTGCTCAGAACCAGTGGCTCCAGCCCACCAAGGCCCAAGTGATCAGAACCAGTCAGCCCACTTCCTCTGCAAACTCCGGAATGGTTCTGGGAGGTTCTGTTTACTCGCAGTTCGGCCAGCTGCCACAGGAACTGGCAGAGCTCGGGGAAGGGATTTACCCCCTCGATATGGTCCAGACTGGTTTAAGTTCGGGAGCCTATGGGAGGGATGGGGGAGGCGAGAGGTCGGCGGGGGTGAACAGGTTCGTCACGGCACATCAGTTCAGTCGCAACCAATCCAAAGCTGCGTACTACCCCATGGAGGTTACCGAGTTACCGCCTGAAAACCTCCCACCGTCGCATGATTACCAGTACCAACATCAGGGGGTGGTACGACGCCCCCTCAGCTCCCACCCTAACTCCTCCCCCGCTCCTCCCCCCCGGGCACTGGTTCACTCCCAGAGCTCCAGCGTCCGGTTCTCCAGTGGCAGCATCCCTAACCCCGGCTTCAGGACCTCGGCCTCCGCCCAGCACATGGACATCCCTTTGGATCTAAACACCGCCGGGGGGTATCACGATGACCTCTTCCTGATCTCCTCCCCCCAGTCTGAAGTTTGCATGGTGGGAGGCGGGACTTACCCTGGAGAGGCGGGGCGGTCGTCAAGGAACACTCCTTTTATGGGCGTAGTGGACAGGACAGCGAGGGTCCAACAGCAGTTTCCGCAACAAACAACATCTGGTTCTGCTTCCTGCCTCAGCCCGTCCAGATCCTGGGCCGTGTCTTCGGTGGACACCGTCGTCACGTCGCCGAGCAAAACCCAGAACAACCAGGGAGGCTTCGGTCCATCCTCCATCGCCTTCCACAACCGCAGCAACAACAACGCCCACAACGACAACCAGCGAGACCACTATCCTCAGGGCGAGGGGTCGGGGAAGGTGGCCAGTCAGAACCCGTCGTACCGGGATGTGAAAGTTGCTCGGACGCTGCCGGTGATCCACAGCGGCTCAGAGAAACCGAGGGACAGAAAGACAGGCCCGACGTCTCCGGTCAAACCAAAAAGACCTTTTGTGGAGTCCAACGTTTAGAGAAGGGTTTACGCATTAGGTCAGAGAAAAGGGAAGAGGGTCAAGCACTCAAGATATTCTGATGTTCCCATCGGCTGTGGAAGTATTTAGTCTGGGATAAGCTGGAAATGAACTAGATTGTACCACATGTAGAGGGGCAAGGCGCAATAAATGTGAAATGAGGGTAACAACACACACTTGAAGGATTTGCTGGTGTATGGTTGCTCTCATACACAAAAGGGATTGAAGGTGAATAAAGAGAGCTGGAGAGAGTTATTAAAGCACTTCTTTACAAACGTAGTGACTTCTTTATTGTGTAAAAGACGTAGGGGAAAACAGAAGTTCATCAAATGTGTTTCATCCAGAACATGTTGCCTGTCAATGAACAAGCCAGAGACAAAGACACATGAGGGATTACACATCAGCTCCTGCCGTTACCAAGCACAAAAGAGAAGAGTAGCTTGGGAGGATTCAGAAACACAAAAGAGGCATCAGGTAGCACTTAAAGAAAGTTCTTTGTCGTTTCACTCTGAAGTCTCTGGATGCCATGTTCACAAACTCTACACTGAGATGTATTCAGAGGGACTGGAAACCACCATCAGCACCAGTGTCTGCTGTTTAATGAAGATTTCCATTTTAAATCTGAAGCTCCTGCATGACTGGAAACCTGGATCCAGGCTCTGATCCGGTCCTTGAAGACCCGGTTATTGAAGAAGCACTGGCAGACCGTATATAAAAACTAAAATAAGTGATATTTATCTTTTTTAAGTTATATGTGTATAAATATTGTTTCTCTTAAAACTGTACAAAACCTTTGGATTTTCCTTTTCGCATCAATCCACAATGAACATCTATTAGAAACACGCTTTAAGGTTATCAGACCTTTTGCTTCAGGTAGACTTATGTTTGTTTTTCGCTACAAAGGCCTTTTTCATATTATTTAGTCCTGAAATTCCTAAGTTATGCAAACCACATGGATCCCATCTGATACAGCAGGACCTTTTGCATTCACTGCCATGGAAACATAGTGCTAACATGGCTAGCTGGTGATTGGCTCAAATCGAATCAAACTGAGCCCCAAAACAGTGATTGTCCGATCGTAACTCAGCAACCATCAGTGGTGCTAAAGCTGGAGTAGAATCAATACGTGACATTTAAAGACGTTTGTGCAGTGTGTGACTTTCAACGGTGTAGCTAGCATCTTTATCGTGATTGTTCACGATCAGGGCGAGTCCATCCCCATAATAAACATGTTTACAGCCTGATCAAAAAACCCTGTTTCGGTCTAGATTAAGCAAACTGAGCGGTTCATGACATCTTCATGAGGGATGGACTTTAAACCTGTTGAAATTATATTAGGGATTAAAGTAATGCATAACTAACGGTGTGGCTTTCAGTTACAGTTCTGTCACAGGTTGCTAGCCGTTAGCTGTTAGCCACTGATTCAACTTTATTTAAGGGAAAATACCTTGTTTTCGAGGGGGTCCAACGACGAAACATTCAATGCAAGAAACATGAATACAGACAACATACATGCACATCTCGTTAGCCAACCCACTCCCACAATACTCCCCTAAATCCACCCTACCCGTAGCCTGGAGTAAAATGCTAGCGCTAACTAGCTGTCTGCACCACAAGGCGTTTTATTAGCATTTTTGGGGGGTTAAAACTAAACCAAATGTTTGCCTTGTTTTTAACTCTATATGTAGCCATCAAGTGCATATTTAAAATCTATTTTACACGTTTCTTGTTTGTTAGTATCATTATAAAGGCCATGGAGTTTTCTGCTGATTAATTGAGCTAATGTTAGCTTCATTAGCTCGCTTCAGGTTGTAGTTCTGATTTCAGATGGCTAAAAGCAACAGTGGTGTGATAGAAATAAGACACATGCTTTTACCTACCTCTGTTTGAAATCAAGGATACATCGTTTAAAGAAATCAAGTGGTTAATTTCATCAACTTAAACTGAAGATGTGAGAATAGAGAGATCGATAACCACAGATGCTAACATAGCTCACAGTTCAGAGAGTTGGTTTTGCAGTTTTATTTTATGCACATTAATGCCTGTTTTATGTACATTTCTGTTGATGTTTCTAATGAATCAGCAGCTTGGTTTGAGAGCTGCTGATGAACCGCTGACAGTCACTGCCGTTATTTCTTACTGCTCAGGAGTTTCCATCTGTGACAAGGTGTGCCAACGCTAAAATGCTCGAGCCGTTTTCATAGTCGCTCTGTTGGGTCTGATTCCGGTCAATGAAACACATGAAGCACATTACAAGTGAATCGGTTTAAGACTAGTTTAAAGTTGTATGTGATTAGGTGAAGGAAGCCAGTCAGTGTGGGACGACAGCTGTCAATAAAGCAAAGTGTTGTGCTGTTCATGTAGGATGTGTAACGCCACAGGTCATACAGAGTTACCGTGTGTCAGATACTTTCATATTTAAAAACACAGGAAAACCAAAAGGACGTTATTATTAAAAAATGTAAAACAACATGAGTGTGTCAGCACTTGTGAACGTTACAAAGAGGAATAAAACTGAATGAAAGACGTTGTGTAAATCTATCTTTCCCCCTTCTGTACAACAGTGGAAGAAGTATTTTGACCAAGACTGAATACTTAAAAGTGTATTTTTATTTTGGGCTGTTGGAGAACATTGCACATGTGGGCCACCGTACATTTCTGATGAAACCCCCCGGTGTCTAAAAAATGAATGATGAAGCTTTATCATGTCGTGTTACATCAGAAGAAGTCAGTTAAAATGAATTGGACCAAAACAACTCAGCCGTTGAACACATCTGTATTTATTCCACGTTGTCCCGATGAGATAAAGACTTCCATAGCAAAGTTGGCACGAGTACATAAGACAACATAAAACAATCCTTTTCAGAGGCAGCTTTTAATTAGGCACTGGTGCGGAGACCTGAAGTCAAAACACGACATATACATGTTAAATATATATATTAGTTACACACATTCAACAACATTCATTTAACATACTCTGTTAATAAGGCATCAAGTAACCAAACTCACACTGGACGGACATCGTTAACAGGACAGTACATTTAAATACAGGCAGATAATATTCTCCGGTCATGTGGACGAACTGGACCGACTGGGCAGATAAAGATCTTGCAGGACATCCAATAAAAGTACAAATAAAGTAGCGTGATTACTGAGAGCATTATCCTTAAACTCTGATTCAACTCGGATGATCGATTCAATAAGTTCAGTGATTTATCCAAACAGTGAAATAAAGGATGGCAGAAGAGAGTAGTTCCAAATGTGAGAGTAATCGTTGGCATAAATCTGACTTTTAATTTCTCACAGATACCGATCTGAGTACGATACTTATATGTAGACACTTTGATTCAACGGGAAATAAATGTTGGTGCCAAGGATGTTCAATATATAAATAAAATATCTGTTCTCTTAATGGCAGACAAATATTCAATATTGATGATTTACGGACGTTTCCAGCACACTGAACCTGCCAGAGGACTGAATTCAGCACACCTGACGGCCTGAATGCTCACTGCTTCATTTTGACTAATGACAAACTCTCACTACTGATAATGAGCGCGCCTGGTAAGCATGAGACTGTTTAGTGTTTCAATTGTCAGGTTTTAAGGTACATTCACGTGTTGGGAAGTAGTAAGAATACGTCTGGATTAAAGAGACTTGGATTGCTCTGCCCGAGTGGTGTAAGAGTTTCTGAACAGACGATTAGTTTGACTTGAGACTAAGTTTGTTGATTCCTTGTTCACTACAGGGTTTTTAATTCAGCAACTGAAGGTCGTATAGCTTGGCTGGAAGGAGGGGGTGTCAGACCATCACTTTTAGGTCAAGGCGAGTCGGGAGTACCCCCCTCAGTCAGGGTCTTGAAGTGGACGGACAGAGACTCTTCCTCCGGGTTCGGTGGACGTCTGTACTCTTCCCTGGTGATCAAGTAGCACAGAACCACTCCGAATAACACCAGCACCAGACCCAGGACGTTGGCCAGAACCCCCTCAGCAGGGAACGTGGAGTAACTCGGCCTGAGTCCAGAGACAAAGGAAGAGAGAGACAGAGTTAGGACATTACATTCAACTCCAGTGTGATGCATGGATGTGGAAAGAGAACTGGGTACAGCGTCCGAACGGTGGCTTTTACATTCGGGTTAAAGTTGCTCTGTGGTGCATGAAGCCAAAATGGCCTGACTCCTAAAAAGTAAAATAACTGGGTCTTCCCTGGATATTTGTCCGAGATCATCCCTAAATCTTCTCTAGATCATCCCTAAATCTTCTCTAGATCATCCCTAAATCTTCCCCGTGTCTTTCCTGGATCCTCCCCGGATATTTCCGAGATCTTCCAGGAATCTTTTACAGATTATCCCTGGATCTTCTCTGGATCTTCCTTGGACATTACCTAGATCTTCCCTTTATCCTCCCTCAATCCTTCCTTAGATTATCCCTTGATCTTCCCTTAATCTTTCCTGGATCTTCCCGTTGACTTATCATCGAGTCGATGGGAGGAAAGTCATGTTGGGCCTCATGGCATCACGTCACTGAGGAGGAACTGTGTTTCCACTGTTTGTCATGAATCAGACCTACATGATGCTGAAGAGCAGTTTCTCCGTGATGCCCAGCAGGCTGGTGCCGATGGACATCACCACCAGAACCAGACCGCAGAACACATGGACCGGCAGGTAGGAGGCCCGCAACCACGACGAGGCGACAGGGAACAGGAAGAACATCAAACCCATCACCCACTGGGAGAAATGAGAGGAGCAAAGGTTAGCATTACTACCTCTGAGTGTGTTACTTCAGAATCAGGTTTATTGACACGCACGAGGAATTTGACTTGGTGTAGTGCGACTGCTGCCTTATTAGGCCTTTAGTGAGCATATTAAGACCCAAACCCGTGAACAACAACTTCCTGACTTGCAACAAATCAACACTAATTAGAGGGTTATCGAGGAGAAACTCTCAACTAATGGCTTATTACTTGTAGAATAAGGCATTAATAAGTGTTTAATAATGACTAATAGAGAGCCAATAAACTGCTAGGATGCATGCTAATGAACAACGAGTTGATGGTTAAAGGTGGGGTAGGTAAGTTTCAGAAACCGGCTCGAGTGCACTAAAATTTAGAAGTGTAT